GTATGATATAGAAATTTACAAATTGATGAAAATAAGTAGAATAAAAGAAACTCACATATCCGCTAATGGCGTCATATGCTGGATGGTAATGTGTGGATGGTGGTGTGTAGCTGGGGTTGATGAAACGCCGTGTAACACGTTTGTACCAGACCATGTACGGATCGTGAGGATCCATAACGCCCTGCATCGGATCACCTCCAACGACGAACTCCAACCGTCGCTGCCATAGGTCAATGTAAACCCTATGCTCCACTGACCAGTTTGTCTCCCCCTTTCCCTGGCGGTCAACGCCGTGCAGGCGGATATTAGTGTCACACTGCTGGGGGACAGGCTGGCGTAGTCCAAACTTTCGCATGACTCGGTCGGGTAGGTGACTCTCCACAACCTCGAAACATATCATGGGGGTCCTGCCACGCCACTCTGCCTGATGATCTAGCAGATGAGCAGGCATGACATCAATCAAGTTAGCTACATACGGATCCCATGTCACCTGCAAAAACACATCAAAAGTAATACCATAAATAGGTTAGTGCACTAACAAGAATCATATTAATTAAATGTTTACAAATTCCTTTTAAGTTACCACCTGATCCTTGGTGAGTCGGTCAAGGGCGTCTCGGTAGTACGGAAGACCCCTCGCTGCATGCGCATGTGTCAGTCTGGGGACCACCCACCTAATACCAAACAAATGTTTTAGTTTGTCAACTAGCATAATAAAACCGTATGAAGTCTAAAGTAATGACAACTATAACAAACCTGCAACCGTACGCCTCGTCAAGTGTAGGGAGCGGTGGAGCATCGTACACCTGGTACTGCTCGTCCAGGTCCTTCTGCCCCTGCCGATGTACAACAGGCCTACCTGGTCTGCCTACATGGATATGCTCCCAAGCCCATAACTGTAACACAAAAATACGAAACTAGGTTAAGTATAAATTAGGTAAGTAATAGATAAAATAGATTGTTGATAATTAGGTGAGTTACCTGAAGCACAATCAAGGGACCTCCGATCTCGCCAGAACCACGGTGGGATGCTCTACACATGTGGCGATACAACGTCGCCAAACAAGCACTACCCCAGCTGTAGCCACGAATATGATCCTAGTCGTGGTCTAACAACTGTAGGTAAATAAGCTACAGATGGCTCCCGCTCTTGTTGCCGAACAACACACCCGAGATGAGCAGGAATAAGTATGCCCGAGCATGTCTCTGAAGCATGGCGTCATCAGCGCCCGCAGGCAGCACACGGAAAGTCTCGCGTATCCAGTCGGTCCTCAACCCGGACCCCCTGATCTCATCGGGACCTGGCTGAACCCCGAGACCCGAGCTTCGAAACCAATGGGATCGACTAACGCATGTCCTGTCACCGCAGTCCCATGTATAGGAAGGCGCGTGAGTATCGCGACGTCCCGCAACGTAACGGTCGCCTCCCCAACAGGTAAGTGGAAGGAGTGCGTCTCCTGTCTCCACCTCTCCGCGAGCGCAGTGACAAGCGCTCGATTGATCTCCCTGAACGCAATCCGATGAATACCAACCAAGCCATCCAACTCGACGTACGCAATAACGCGTTGATCGAAAACCCAGTTCGCCATAACCCTTGTAGTGTAGTGCCTGCAAACCAGCAGCTTCGCTAGATCAACCTGATAAAAAATCGTACGAACGTAATTAATATCAGATAGTATATCAATTCAACATGCATGAGTACATGAACTAACGGATGAAATATTACCGACTGGTCCCATATGTCAACGCTCCGATGTTTGTCCTGTAGTGTCAGGACAGAAGGGTCAACAGGTCCGTGTGTCCTATCTTGTCCATCCATGAAATCTGTTCATTAACAACGTTATACACCAATTATCAACACAATTACTAGATCATCAATTAAACATGAGCTGGACGAGTTAAAGGCATCGACGAAAAATTTCAAATGACAACATTCAAAATAGAAATGATCCAAATGTTACAAACGTTACAAAATCAGATACAAAATAAATCTACTATTCTACTACATCAAATTACAGATACAAACTTAGGTCCCGGTCGGTCTAGATGGACACGTTGTTCGGTTGTGACCCTGCTGGTGACAGCAGCTGCATTTACTCGGGGGCCGGTTAGTCTCATCCATTTCATTGCGTATGCGCTTTGACTTTGGCTGACCTTTTCCTCGTACCATGCTGCCGTCCGGAATGAGTTTAGGGCCGATGTACTGTGTCCAAGTCGTCTTACAAGGGATAGGCCAGAACTGTGGTGCATAGGTGTTCGTATAAGCCTCCCACGGCCGCTCTGATAGTGAATACGTCGCACAAACAGCTAGAACATGAGAACATGGGAGATGGAATATTTGTGATTTGTTGCATGTACAAGTTCTCAACTCAAAGTTAAAGTATGTTTATGGCCTCCTTTTCTACCAAGTCGCTCTCCCCTTTCTGTTGTAACTTGGTAAATATGCAATCGGTGGTTTTACGCATCCACTCTGTGATATCTGGCTTTTGCGGCGTTCTTCTCCAGAATGGCAGTGACCTTGGGGGGTATGCAAGTCCCTGTTCAGACCTAGCCTCAGAAGACTCCCTTCTTAAAGTGAAATACCTGTTAACTCTGTGGAAAGTTAACTCGACAAAGGACATGATTGGTAGAAACCGAGCTCCCTTCAACACATTGTTAAATGTTTTAGAGAAGTTTGTAGTACATATCCCATATTTGCGACAAGCGTCGTGAAACAGAGACCACATAGGAAACGGGACTTGAACAATATACTCCATGGCCTTGGTACATGCCTTTGGTACGCAACAGCCTTGAACATATCTCTCATGTCGTTGCTTCGCACGTGAGGTCTTCAAGTTAGAAGCTATGTGGCGAACACAAAACCTGTGATAGGCTCGCGGCTCGGTGAATCCAAAGTTAGGATCATTCATTGCTGCAATGATCCCAGGATGTCGATAAAATATAACACAGAGGCCATCTCGTTGAGTGACATGAACCCGAATGCAGCCCAGAAACCAAGGCCAGCTGAAAGTGTTTTCCCCTTTTACAAACGCAAATGCTAGCGAAAATACTTGGAAGATTGCATTCACACTTGTAGCAACCAACAGTGTTCCTTTATACTTCCCGTACAAGTGCGTCCCATCAATACATAACAGGCATACAATGTTTAAAACCATCGATATAAGAACCGACGGCCCAAAACACTCGTTCAAACACTTCCATGTTGCTGGAGTAAATACCATCCACCAGAGCTTTCTGTTTCCATACAACAACGGTTCCCGGGTTTGACTGTTGGAGTGCTTGCAGAAGTGCGGAAGTCTGCCGTAAGAACTCTCCCAATCCCCAAATATTTCAGCTATAACTTTCTCCTTGGCATACCATGCTTTTCGATACGGAACTTGGAAATGAAATTGCTTGGAGATGAGTTCCTGTATGAATTCAACTTTCAAGAACGGATCTTTCTACACAAAGTACTTCACATACTCTGATATTATAGACGAATCCAAGTGTAGGTGATCAGTAGATAGTACTTCAGTGACACAACTCTCCTGGTGCGGGCCTTTTTACGTGACTAGGGTAAAGCCACGCGAGTGCTCACTTGATTTGGTACCCCGTAGCGACCAACCACATTTTTTCTTGCACCGCAGATGAAGGACACTGTCATTCGAGGTCACTGTGGTGTATAATTGATTCCTTTGTATAGGATACATCTTCACCATTTCTTGAAGCATTCTCTTACTTTCAAAATACATGCCTTTTTCAAATTCTCTCCCGGGAACAAACGATGTATGGCTACCCGATTCGGCCCAATACTGATCAACTACATAGTTCTCGTTTATCTGACTAAACCAAGGTACGGGAGTTCTAACTATGGGCTCGCCAACTTCCATGTGTGCAGGTTCAACATCCATGTTCCGCAGTCCATCTTCTTCCTCTCCGCTCTTGGCTTCATCATTTGTTTCCGCATACACAGACAATTCGTTATTCACAATAATTTCAAGATGATTTGGCACATGTTGAGACAGTGATGCTTGAACATCATCTTGCATATGCGAATAACTACGCAATTGCATCGGTGAAGGTGTGACAGTGTTTGATGTTGAAGGTCCAGGTTGGTCGAACATTGTCACATATGCCCCCCCATGTACAGGTGAAGCTATATGAGAACTAAAAGACATGTTAAATTGATCGTCATGCAGCATTCTACTGAAAGATCCCATCCCATATTCATTCGATGGAATGTCGTGTGAGGGCACTTGGAAGGACTCTGTGTTGTAACTGAAAATATATGTAGATTGTTGTTCTGGCCGAGTACTTTGTTGGTACATATAGGCACCATTTCTACATATATCTCAGTGGGAACACTCTTCATTGCAACAACGCTCCTCAAAGCTTTCAGATGATTATTCGTCGAAACAGGTAACACTTGAATCTCATTGCCAGTCTCCAACCTCATTTTAATGTTTAGTTCAACATTACTTGGGTTTGAACCAATACTACTATGAACCTCGTTCATCAAATCATTGAAAGTCATGTTCGGTTCAAGTGTTAGTGGTTCCATATTTCCTCCATTATACTCGACACGGGGTCCATTAAACAGAATTTCACCTCCCCACCGGCATAACAACACAACATTTTGTGCAGCCATATTCTACATAACAACCAAAACACATTATACTTAAAAGCACTAACTCATCCCTAAATCGCCATATTTAAACAACAATGTACATACTTTTCAAATTACAACAACTTAGAAGCCCTAAATCACCATTGTTAAACAACAATGTAGGTTATCACAATTACTCAAAAACTAACAATTATCAACCATTAACAACAATTATCAACAATTATCTAAACTAATAATTCAACATTTTCAACAATTATCTACACTAACAATTCAACATTACCAACACTAACAATTCAACATTATCAACACTAACATTCACAAAAAAAATCAACAATTATAAAAAACCTAGATTTTAAAAACCTAAGAGAAAGGGGGCAAGTACCTAATTCGACAAGGAAGTGAAGAGAGGGGGCGTCGGAGCAGTTGGCGGCCGGTCGTCGACGGGCGGTGGTCGAAGGGAGGCGCTGGTGGGAGGGGGATTTGGGTTGCATGAGAGAGAGATTGAGTGAGGGAGAGATTGGGTGAGACCTGAGAGGAATGAAATGGGGGAGTTTGAGTAAGAGAGGAAGTTGCCTCTGTTTTACAGCAACGAAAGAAACGCTGACTGAGGCAGCGTTTCATTAAACACATAAAACGCTTCAGCCAGCGTTTTACTACATTTGAATTTTTTTTTTTAAGGAAATCAAAAATTAAGAAAATCAAAAAAAAAAAAAGTCAACCAGTAAAAACGCTGTCCGAAAACAGCGTTTTACTCCAAAAGCTTAGTTTGGTAAAACGAGTACACTATACAAAATATTTTGTTAACAAAGTTTTAGTTTGGAAAAAAAGTCCTAAAGAGTTACAATGAACAGAAATCATTATCCCTCCCAAAATCCTGCAACTTCATCTTCTCGTTCTTCTTCATCATCTTCATACTCTAATTCTAATTCCAGACATCACTACAATGTCACCCGAACTTCGGGCCCAAAACCCAATTGGAATCGCATCTCTAACAGACCCCAAAGAGTTCCATTGGAAGAAGATACTGATTATACCACTGCTCACTGTATTGTTGGAACTTGCCCTTTTATGTGCCCAGGTATATATTATACACTTTTTTTTTTTCATTGCTTTGATTAATTAATTATAGGATTATGATAAATTTCTGCTGAATTGTACTGATCTGGGGTTTCTCTAAGACTCTAAATTTGTATTTGAATTTTTTTCATGTTTTATTTTGAAGTGCTGAATTGTACTTATTTTCTGATCCGGGGTTTCTCTAAGACTCTTAATTCATATTTGAATTTTTTCATGTTTTATTTTTGATGTTTGTTTATTTTGCATAGGAGTTATTTTCATTGGTTTGTGAATCACTATGAATAAGAGCAGATGAATTGGATGCTAAATCCTTTTATAGGTTATACTTGATAGTTTGTTGAATTTTGAAAGGATTATAAATCAATGAAATAATTTGGAAATCCACTGATTTAAAAAATAATAGTAATAAGGTAAAGATTTTTAGAACAATGAAATTCCTTTTTGATTGTCAAGTGTTGGGAAAATTGGATTTCGGTTGGATTACTGAATTTTCTATTTTGATTCTATATGAGACAGAAGGGCTTGTGATTTAATGTTTGTTGCTTGTTTTGGGCAGAAAAGGAGAGAATCCAGCGTGAGCAGCTTCGAGATCTAGCTGTATTTGAAAGATTGAATGGAAATCAGTCGAAATCGTCCTCAATCCTCGCTGTTAAAAAGGTAAACAAAAACTTTTTGTCTATTGTTGTTTAAGTGAAATTGATTGTCCTTTTGAATTGTAAATTCGTTGCATTGGTGGAGCCAGGATTTTCTGTTGAAGGAGGGAGAATTTTATGTCAAAGTTCTAATTATTGAAAACTAGTATTTAAGGTTATTCATGCTTAACTTTTATGTAATTCAATCTCTTAGATACATGGAACATGTATTTTCATTTATTGTATCACTATCTGCTGTACTTGAACAAGTAAACAAGCCTTGTTAATGTCCCATGCAACTACTGAGGCAAGGGATATATATTGCTTTCTCTCTATGCTTATTACTCCCTTTGTTCCATAATATAGTGCTTTTTCTCATTTTTCATGAAAATTAAGGGTTGTAGACTAGTAGAGGGAGTGGATAAAATATTTAAAAATAGGATTGTTTTATATGGAAAAGGTAAAAAAAAAAAAAAAAAAAAAAAAACAGTAAATAATGACATGTAATGAAGTATTGGATATAGGGGTAAAAAATAATTGATGGTACAAATATTTGTGAAAATGTAGGGGTATATTGTATGGAAAAGGTAAAAAAGTAGGTGTATTATGATAGAATTATGTAAGATAATAATAGAAATATTAGTAACACACAGTTTGGAACACCTAAAAAAGAAAACATGTACTTCGTATTATATAATGTGATGGAGGGAGTACTATGCCACCTTTTTTTTAAGTGCTTTTTTTTTGTCTCCGCCTATGGTTGCTTATGGTTGACTTAATATTTTTTGGGTCTCTTCTTTGGACAAGTAGCCTAGTACTCTAGTCTCTAGTAGGTTGTATTCAAGTTTTGAGTATCAAGAGATGGAAAGTGGCATTTTTAAATATTTTTATTTATTTTTATTTTTCCTTAGGAATTTTTACATGGTAAACGAGGTTTTATTTCTTTGTCTGTTTAAAATTTGCTCTTGTTAAGTTGTGAATATAGTTGACAAACTTATCATAATAGTCATTTTGTGTATGAAACCCATTTTTTCTCAGTAGTTTTGCAGAACTATCTCAATGAAGGAAGTTCAAGCATCAGATATACGCCCTCTGCCGGTTTTGGAGGACACATTAGATTACCTTATGAAGTTGGATTCATCTGAACATTCTTTTCTCGTTCTTCATGATTTCATCTCTGATAGGACAAGGTCCATTAGGCAAGATCTCAGCATGCAGAACATCAACAATGATAAAGTGATCTGCATGTACGAGAAAATGGTATGCTATAATTGTTCATTTTTATGCTTCGTTTTTAAGTGCGCAACTGCACATATAGATTTGTGTGCGTAAAGAAGATTAGGAAAAGCTTAGAACACCTGAATGAATTCATGTTATGAGCTCCCCTTAAATGGATAGTATTATTCAGTATGAGTGAATAGCATAGTTATACTTTTCCTTGTCTACCTCAAAACTTATGTGGAACCATTAGTTTAGTTCAGGGTTGCTGCTCAAGTGCTCAAACATAGCATTCATCACCATTTGTGGGCGTTGACTTCTGAATGAAGTCTGGCATAACAAATGAGTGGAGGACTTCCTAAGGGTCTCAAAGACAGAGAAGTTTACTTGGAAAGATTGGCTCAAACTTTAACCTTAACAAGTAATTTTGGGAGCAATGTTTTGCTCTAGTTTGGGGAACATGTGGTTTGGTTATGATATATAGTAGCACCTTTATTTCTCTTATCAACCCCAGCGGCATAAAATCTTGTATATGTATACCCTTTCATATTGTTTTGGTCAATGATTGCATAATAATCCGTATCATACCAATATCTATCATATAGCAGTATGAAATTTTTTTTTTTTGTGGGATCATTAAATCCAGACTCTTGGCGGACTATTCACTTTTAGTTGTTATTATGTTAAATAGGTCACTGAATTCATGCATGTGCTCGTAGTGGTATGTGGTATATCATTGATATTTACTGCCAAATTGTTCATTGGTAAAAGTGGATACCATGTACAGGGAGAATTTTGATGATACCTTGATGTGCAAAAGAATATCTTTGGTGTTTAGCATTTCATTTAAGCAAAGTTGTTGAGCTGGGTACATATGGCTAAACTTGTATAACAATGTATTCCCTGTTTTTAATATAGCTTTGGGAACCCTGTAAAAATTTTGGTAAGTTCATTAAAAAAGGAAGTGTTCCATTTTGCTTATTTTATTATGTTATAGTCTCTTATATTGTCCAAAAGGTCTTTTATTTAATTTTTTTAAATGCAAATTAACCCGCTGAAGGACCGAAAAATAACATATCAGTAATCAGAGAATTGAAGTTAAAGCAAAGTCAATTTCATTGTACACAGACTACACACTATACTATAACGGACTTTATGAATACAGGCCATGCAATTTGACTGAAGTACTAACCTTCACATAGAAATCTGGTGGAGAAAAAGTATTGAAGTGAATTTTGCTAAAATCCAAGCGCCATCCATCGCCCAAGCATGCCTAACCTGAAAATGTCATGCAGAGATCAGCTTAAGAACCGTAGTAGATCAGGCAGAACCAGAAATTAAAATTATCACTAATTAGCTGACCTTCAAGGTCTTCTTCACTTCTAACCTAGGAGCAAGGAGGCCGACTTGCCCAGTCAACAAAATAGGAAATAATGGGTTACCAAGTTTTCTGAGTTGTACTTGTACCCTAGCCGCCTCAGGGCCAGTTTTTATAATTATTGGCTACTGTGTCGCTTTTTAGGCATGAACTACTTGTTTGAAGTTGGTAGCTAATATGATGCTCTGACTATTGTGTTACATTGATCATGAATAATGCAGATTAGGTTTCATGTCACCTCCCACTACAAGCTTAGAAGATGTGAGGGTGACAGCACCACTTTATCTTCAATCCATCATCTTAATATGGAGCAGCTCACAAAGTGCCTTGGATCACTATATAACCTATATGATATCAACCGCACTTCAGATTCTGTTTTTGACAATGAGGCTGAATATCGATCTTTATATGTCCTCCTTCATCTTGAGACTCATAGCCATTCAACGGTTGCTCTCTTCTTTGATGCTACTCTTGCTATGATTTTGATTGTTACAGTTTTCTGCTTTGGTTTATTATACTGACTTTTAATACAGCTGATATAATCTATAGGGCGAGTCTCTATCTTTGTGGTTTTCTCGTCTATCTTCATATATTGTTAGCTCAAAGGAGATGTGCTTTGCGCGAACAGTGTTAAGGTACTTACTTTTTGCCATGCTAACATATGACTCATTGTTTATACCAATGGCCTATTTGTTTAAGGTCACTGTCTCATTAAATTTACTTTTATTGTAACCCCTTTCTTACTAGGTCTTTTCGGATGGGCAATTTTTGGCGTTTCTTTCACACTGTAGCATCAGAGGCAACTAACCTACAGTTCTGCATCATTGAGCCTTACATCATGGAGGTTGGTACTTTGATAAGATCTTTTACCTTGGTTTTTTTTTTTATAAATGATTTTCAATATGGCACTGTTTTCCAATATTATAAAACACTTTTTAAGATGGCATAGGTAATATTTGATGGTTATAAACCTTTTTCCAAAATGGCGTTGTAAATAGTAATTCATGTCAGGGATGGTAAGTAGTTGAAAGGATTGAATAGATGGAATTATGTGCTTATTCATTATTGCATTCCAAATGGATCATGAATTCTTGAAGTTGTTCAATTGTTGAATTTGGACATTTGTTATGGTGCTTTGCTGATTGCAAAGGTGTTGTCTTTTTGTGAATAAGTTTGCATTTTTTAATCCATTCTTGAAATGATGGGAATATAAGGGTTTTTTTTTTTTTTTTTAATTTTTTAATTTTTTTTTTTTTTTGTTTTTTTTTTTTTAGAAACTAGAGTGATGGAGATACATGACCAAAATTATGGAGAAAAAACACTTTGGTGATATTCCCTCCATATTTTTTAAATGCATCACTTTCCTTTTATGGGGTTTTTTTTTTTTAAATGCATCACTTCCTTATTTGGTAACTTTATACTATATTTAATCATTTCTCTCTCTTACTTTAAACCCCACTTAAATTATTTTATCATTTCACTCTCCTTCATGGTCCCCACTTATATAATAAAAATATTTATTCTCCCTCACATTCTTTCTTTTTCATGGTCCCCATCTAACTTTTACTATAATAAATTATTCACCCACTCACAATATTATATTACTCTCCTAAAACTCCGCGCATCACCAAGTGATGCAAATAAAAAAAAAACGGAGGGAGTATATTAACTTTATTAAGAAATGTACTAGTATTTTTGTGAATTAGTAAAGGTTTATACCCAGAATTAGTTACGAGTCATCATAAAAGCCATTCATCTTATGTTACCATGAATGAAGTATTACAGGAAAAGAAAGGAGAATTTGCACATGGTCCTTATCGAACTAGAGTGAGCATATAACAAGCTACTAAGAGAAGTGTTTTAGTTGGCAATAACTGGAAAAGATATACCACGTAAGTATAAGGATATCTATTGAGACGTGAAATCTATTGGCGGAGATATAGAGGATTAAGGTTCTTAATGTTCTTTCCTCTTTGCAGTAGTTTTGCATAACATGGTTTATCCAGCACGAGATATCGTGGTGTTTGTTTTTTGCGGATGATATATTATTAGTTAGTTGTGATGGACAATGGGGCTGCCACATAAGTATAATGGACCCGAAGCTGCAGCCACCATTATGGGTTCACACTCGGAGGAAGAGAGTGAAAGTGACACATGTCTAAGGAGGAGGGAGCAAGCAACAATGATCAAGAGAATTAGGGGACAGCAAGGCACTAGTGGACAAAGGTAATAAATGATTCACTAAGGAAGGAGCAGTAACAATTATTCAGGCTTGATACCCAGATGCAGTAGAGACAAACTTCACTAATGTTAGGTTATCCTTTATTTCCTTGTAGTATGCTTGAGTATATAAAATAGGTAGTAGTTTATGCTGAGGAGATTTTTGTATTGTGGAATGAGAGAGAGTGGTAACCAAAGTTACTAAGAGAGTAATAGCCTCAATTTCTCAAACTAGAGTAATAGCCTAAAGCTATTAATCTATCCTTTTTTAAACCCTTTTTGCCATTATCAATCAAAATCAAGCTTTTTATCTTTTACATTGTTATATTTTTTTTTTGTACAATATACAAAGTCAGAATTCCAATCTAGTATGTTCAAAGTGGGAGAAATAGAGACAATTGTGACATTAGATCGTAAGAAGTTAGAACACACTTCCTTCATCTCTTGTCTCTTTTTTCCTCTTTTCTTCAGGGTTTTGGTATATTTGTCATCTTAGGCTGGAAGCCTGGAAGTAGTCAACTTTTTTTTTTTTTAATATTTTATTTTATAGATTCAATTTATGTGTTTTAGCTTCTATTTTTCTCCCTTATGGAATTATGGTAAGTCTAGTTGTTTTTCCGTAGTATAGTACTAATTGATTTGTTGAAGGGGATTCATTTGGTTTTGAAGAAAAATGTCAAATTTCCTTTATAATCAGTTAATTAAACCAAAAATCAACTCAAAACTGCAATAGAAAGGGTGCATGAAGAATTGTCAAATATATAATACTTTTTTATTATTAATGATCGTAGTCTCATTGAAGAGAAGTTTTGTTTGATCCAATATGATGTGTTAGTGAGGTTTTCTTTTCAATTGTAGATGTCATATGACTTTCGGAAAAAAAAAAAAAAAAAAAAAAAAAAGGCAAAGAGTTACTTGATAGTGGATGTTTTAAGTACGTCAAATTAACTTTACAAAGAAATGAAGATGTTAATCAAGTCTAGATGGCTTAAAGCAGATGGGCTATTGTGCGATGCTGCGATCCTAGCTTGAATTTATGGTTAAAGAAAAATTATATAGGGCAACACTTGGACCAACTTTATAAAATGGTTGGGCATTTGAGAAAGGATCATATTATGAAGATTGAGTGTAGCAAACATTGTTGTGTGGGAACACCTTAAGGGATTAAATTATGAATGTAGATATTTCTAGGAAAGTTGAACTTGCAGATACTTTGGATAATATAAAGGAAAATCGCCTACATTAATTTGGACAATTGAGTCAACAATGAGCAGATGCACCATTGAGGAAGGTAGGGTTGGAATAGTGGAGATTTCAAAAGAAATTCGGAGTGGCCAAAGATGAGTTGGATAATAGGAGTTAAATATGACATGAAGAAGGTTTGCAAGAGCTTTTTGCATTAGATAGAAGTAAATGGAGGAAAAGGATCTCTGTAGATGAACTCACGGGTGAGACTCTAGTTCATGCTAGTCTCATCCTTTTGGGAAAATATGGCTTTGGAATTGTTGCTGTTTGTAATAATTATTACTTCCTGATCAAGCATGGTCTTAAAGAAAACATATGATATACCTTGTATATTGTGACCTTTATGTATTTTTCCCTCTCTATCCTCCTCTTTTCTCATTAGGGTTTTGGTCAGTTATCTTAAGCAGGAAATTGTTAGCTTTGGGAATTCTTTCTAAATATTACATTTTTTTCTTCTTAATTCAATAAAATGCTTGATTCCTATTGCTTTAGGCTTCATGCATAGGCGCACTTTTTTATTCACTGATTACCTCTACTTCTCTTTTGCTTGATCTCTATAAAGTGAAAACTGTCCAAAATAAAAAAATAAAAAATAAAAAAAAAGTATTACTGCTTTGTCTTTTTCTTACTTAATTTTTAATATCCATTTCCATTTGCATTTCCATTTTCTGGCCCTTAGGCTTAAGACAGGTTGCCATTCTCAACAATGACTTCTAATTTAATTCCAACTACTCCTCCAAAGCACAGTACCACTATATGCAGTTTGAAGCTCCTAATTGGTCCTTATAATTTAGCTGTTCTGAATGCTTATTGCTCACAACCTGTTAACTTTAGGTTTGTAGATCTCACAGGTAGAAAATCTTGAAATTTTAAAAACTGGTACTTAGTTTCGCATGAGGATGCATATCGATTCCAAAGGATGTGTTTTTTTCTCCAAGCCTGCAAATGTTATAAAATATCCTGTTGTCTCCAAAACTAGTGCATGTATTATTACTATTGTTTCTCGATTTATTAATATCAGTGCTTCCAACAGGGCCGTCGCGTTAAATTTCGGGGCCCTGTTCTAAACTATAAAATGGGGCTCTAACGGAAAAAAATTATAATACTTAAATATTATTTCAAAAATAGTATCATATTACAAGGATATAGATATACTTCATAAAAGAAATCTTATGTACTCAGACTATTATATGAAAAATTAACATCATATACAACTTCATGCTAATCTAAACCTTCAAGTTATTTAAAAAGAGCTTTTCTACTGACACTTTTGGAAGCAAATTCATCAACCAAGTCTTCATATTGTATCGTCTCCAAAAGATCGTTTTCGGTCGCTATTAATGCTAATTCATTAAGCCTTTCTTGTAGCATAGTAGATCGCAAGTACGTTTTCAACAGCTTCAATTAAGAAAAGCTTTTTTCTGCAGAAGCAACAGTCACAGGAATAGTGGATAATTAGCCGTTTGATAATAAACGAAAATCAAGAGAAGTTATGGTAAAGACTGAAAAATTAATTCTTCCATTGAAAATTGGAAGAGGAAGGTGAGATAGTTACTAATTATTTTTGGGTAAAATAAGAAGGTTAATAAGAATTTAGCATTGAATGAGATATGGAATAGAAAAAGTGATGGAAATTTCATATTCAAAGTAATGAAATTGAATTGGAGATTGGAATTTGGAAAGTTTGATATTGAAAATGGTCTTGCGGAGATAACGATGATGTACTGTACGTTGAATGAATGACTGACTTTTGATTTTTTTCTTTACTTTGGTTGGGCTTTAATTGAAAATAGGCCCCATAAAATTGGGGGCCCTGTGCAATAGGTCTGTTTGCACTGGGAGAGGGCCGGCCCTGGCTTCCAAAGTTCCAACACTTCCTAGTTCCAATAATATCGATAAGATTCCTTTACCTTGATAATCCAAACTTCTTATAGAGATTAATCGTTTGATAGCCTGAATCCTTTGTGAGAGACCAGTTAAATCTATTTGTTTCTTCAACAAAATTATTCCAAATGTTATTTGGTAGATGTATAACAAGTGCCAAGGTGGGTAGCTATTATTTAACTAAGTGTTCAAACAAAAGAGATTTGGTATATGCTGCTTTTAAGCTCCTTTTCTTCCTGAAAACTTTATTACAGTTCTTATATTGAGTTTGTTTCACTTTGTTTTAAGGTTAGGGCACTTGCTGTAGCGTGTATAAATTCCAGTGGCTACAAGCTTCATCCTTATCCATTAACGTCTCTTTCAAAAATCCTGATGATTAAGGTAGAATTTGGTAAATATCTTTTGTTTATTAAAATTTTTTAGTTGTACGTTATATGAAGTAACACCGAAATTTGGATTTGTCAGGAATCGGATTTGGAAACCTTCTGCAATGCTTGTGGCCTGCAGACTTCCCAAGATGATATGGGGAATAAGGTCTTACCCACCAAGCAAACTGGATTTTCCCATCCCAAGGGAGGATTTCAGTGCAATCTTTTCCCGTGGTTGGAGCTGCTGGAGAAGTGAGTTTCTCTGCCATTTACTTTTATCATTTCAATGCCATGTTTTCATATTGAGCTGTTCAGATGATGGCTGTTTCTTATACCTTAATTTTATAAGAATCTTCAGTTAAGCACAAGGTTTGAATTCCTCTCTTCTCCTTCAGCAACCTCCTAAAGATGAGGAGGAGGAGGAGGATAAGGAGGATGTGATTGGGGGGAGGGGGGGGGGGGGTAATCACACACATACCTCAACTGTTCACTCACATTGTTTTTGCTCAGAAGAGGAAAATAGGACTTTTGACACTATAGGCTTTGTTGACTTAAGTTATGCATCCCTATGTGCTAATCTTATATTTTCGGAAGAAGTGGCCAACTTGAAGTAAGCCTGTATCTGATATCAATGTGTGGTGCTTGTCTAAAATACAAAGAGTGAGGTAATCCTGTAACTGGAAAATTCTGCTTCCAAAAGATGTCAGTGTGAAATTAATTATATTGATTTTACAGGGACAATAACAATATAATAATATATGCTTTACAGAGCCTGTTTCAGCAGGATTTAAACTGGGTTGCTGTGTAGACTGAGGATGTAAATCTATACTGTTGCTGGCCACACAGGCATATTTGTCCCACATCCAATTTGCTTGTAGTAAGTACATGTTATTTAGGATTTTCCTGTTGTAGTGCTATTGCAAATGAAGTTCGCTTTGAGATGCCAATAAATGGCACAGTTTTATTGCTAATTTGTTGTAAAGGTAATAATAAATCAATCAATCATATTGCTATATGGTTAGCATTAAACTATCTGATTCCCTGTGAAATTATGACCTCTTTTACTCTCCCTTAAGCTATCCTCACTTCAAAACGCGTTAGGTTTTTGCTTTGTTATCTGTTGTTAGCTAACTACCATGTTATATGAATACATGATGCACTTTTTTTTTTTTTTTTCTTTTTATGCCCAACCCTATCTTTAGTATAAACATGTCTTACTAATTTTTTTTCCTATTGAATGATTATTTGGAATACTTATGAGTTTCGATGAAGTGAATGATCAATCTCCTTGACTACCCTTTCATCGAAAGAAGCACGGAAACTTCTAGTATCCGAGGTCTTCTTGTTTTCGTGCTAATGAAGCCCAAAAATGGTGGGACTTGAAGCAGCCGTTTCTGTGCTACATACTCCTACTTTTAAGGAGACCTATTCCAATAACGTGCTAAAGTGACTTGTGATATTTGGTATCTTATACTCCTTCCATTCTTGAAAGTTTATCCCACTTTTCAATTTGATTCGTTTTTAAAAGTTCAACTCACTTATACTTTAGTCTTATAATGAAAGATCCCTTTTACAATCTTACCCTCATACCCCACACTGTTTATGGCATTTTATAATCTTTCACTTGCTTTATCCACTTTTTAGTTATTCACCTACCTCTTGTCTCTTTTACTTTATTCATTTTTTTTTCCTTACACTCATTCACTCTTTCCATGCATTCCACATTCCTGGAGTACTTTGTATTCACATTCTTGGGTGATGTTTCCTCTTGTTTTATTTTGAAAAGTTTTTACCCACATAACGTTCAAGTCTAATACCTTGTTTACTATTGCAGGGATGCAAGCGTTTCAATTGAAAAGTGATGTAAGAGAAAAGAGAAAATGAGGCGGAGGAAGAAAGAAAGGAGGGAGAAATTTTGGGCAACATCCGCAATAAGGATGCTCTAAACCCAATTACATTACCAAAGAAACTCATCTTGATGGAATATTGGATACTTTTTCAAAACTTTCAAATTTGTATTAAGTTATTATAGAAGGGAGGGACAAACAATTCTTGTAGGGGAGGTTCAACATAGTTGAGCTGGCATTCAGTCTTCTAATTTTTTCATCTACTACGAAAGACCGGCAAAGTCCGAATTTGTAAAAGACATGTTATTCTTTCTTTCTTAATCGAATGTTATGGGGCATTCATAAAGGGAGGATTTCTTTGGTTTGTTACTTTTTTTTGCGTCTTCAATTTCTACAGGCAGTGTTCTGTTCCTGCCAGATACTTTTGATCAAAAGGAATTGAAGGTGAGATAAATTTTTAATTAGCATGAAAAATAGACAAACTCATCATTAGGAGAAGGTTTTTTAATTTTATATCACAGTCCTTTTGAATTAAGAATCCAGAGCTAACTAGCAAGAGATGTACTGTATTTGGATCAAAATATTACCTAAAAAATGACATATGATATGAGGTAGTATGAAGCAAGCTGAGTTGCATGAGTCCAAAAATGAGTGCCTCAAAAGATGTTGCTCGTAACTAGCTTTTGTAATTTTGTAAACTACTCAGCATGACAGCATTAGCTCAGACAGTATGCCTGGAAACCAGTTCATGACTCAGAAGTGAGTCAATTTACTCCAACAAAAGGAAGAGAATAACAAAATCACCGGGTGGTTATCAACTCAATTACAATTGGTAAAATTCTTTACAAGTTAAATATAGATATCCGTTTTACAAAGAAAAGATGAAATAGCTCTTTTCGATTCAGCAAAGATGAAAGCAGAGATATGTCATGCTGAAGAAAGCCTGCAGAAATTTACAAAAACACTAGTTCAGTAATTTAAGCAGCCAACATAGAAGACACAACATAATTTAGTGATATGCTAACCTTTCCCCGTGACTCAAATTTGTATCTGACTGTAAACCATGACAATCCCCTATCTACAAGTGGTGCAAGGGCAAGGGCACTGTAATCAAGTAAATAATGTCAGATAAATTCACATGTAAATGGGGCAATTGTGTAGTGTATGGAATATCTAGATATCCAGGCATGCATTAAAAACATATGCAATGGGCATAAATTGCAAACCAATGCACCCATACAGAGAACACACAATGGTCCAACACTCACATCACATCTTATCTATACTTCTTTTTACTTGAGAGAAGACTTTAGATCACTTAAATCAATTGGCTATGGAAAGATCAACTCCCTAGGCTTATAAGGTTGTTATTTCTCTTTACTTCTACAACGTTAGACAACTCACATAAACACAGCATAATTTAGCCTTTGCACCTTTTATATCCCTTCTTTCCAGTCTGATCCCTAATCACTATCATTCTAGTTACCAACTTACCGTCAACTCTACCAGATGAACATAGAGTGATGGAAACTGGATGACACCCTGTTTTAGTTCACAAATAATATGAGTTTTGGAGAAAGGGAAATGGAAAGAGTGTTTAGCTTTACTAAATGGACCAAGCAACTACTTGGGACGTTGTCAGTGAAAGGAAATATTAAAAGCAGCAGTTTATTAAGTATTTATTTGTCCCATTTATGAAGCTGTATTACTATAAAGTTCTTCTTAGCAACCTAAGTTACTAGTTCGTAGCTAATCATATAGCGGTAGAATTGATAGCTTACCCTGCTGCTCTTATGAGCTTAGTGACTTGGCTTCCTGCCCAAACCATGGCCATTACTTTCAGAAATCTGCATCCAATATATGTAAAATGACTTTAGAAAATAATTACTTGATCGGAATGAAACATTATTGGTATAACACGCAGTTACCTTGAAACAGCAGCAAGATAACCCATTTTTCCAGGTGCTGGAGCAAAATAGAACCTGAAGCAACAGGTGGAAATTCAATGTAAGCAATTGCACAACACAACAAACTGCACTCAGTTCCCCCCCCCCCCCCCCAAAAAAAAAAAAAAAAATTAAAAAAATATTGCATCATCTCCCAAGGGTACACTTTTCCAAGAACAGGATACAAATAGGCAGGGATGCTACAATTAAGGAACCAATTTGACGACCACCACCCAGTATGTGCCCTATGTTAATAGGAAATGTGCAGGTCCAGAAATACACAAATTCCCTGAGAGTCTAACAGACTCAACACTTTTATTTTCTAGTTACTCACCACACCAAGAGAAAGGTAGTAAGGTAATAGGCTGTGTTCAGTAGACCATATGACAGTACTCCAGAAGCTCCATATCTTTTCAACTGCTCCAATATTCTGTCAAGTTTGCACAATAATTAGTAATCAGCGAAAAAGTTAACCTACAGTAGTTTGTTCAGATGAGAGAATTTGGAGAGAAGGAGAGTAGGGAATAATTTTTCTCTAGTGATGTTGGAGACTGGATAATGGAAGAGAAAAGGAATAGGAGTGTTCTATTTTCTCTCCTTCATTAGTGAACAAAACCCTTCCAAAGTTCAAAAAAAGTAGGAAGGAATATCTTCCCCTTCCCTCTTCTCTCTCTTATCCTCTCCTACAAATATGTAATTTAAATACACAGTATGTGAGAATCAAGAAAAATGGAATTGAAGTGCATACATTAAGCAAGTACAAATTGTGCATAACAGTAACAAACTCACTTCTAATATTTAGAAGCATAAAAGGAAAGCATAAACAGATTCATTCGATCACTGCACTGGAGCATGCTTCAGTTCCTCTGTTCACAAGAACAACCATTACACCTAGCTACACTACAGAATCTATAGCTGATAGAATCAGATGCACTAATGCAAGGATATTCAGACTTCATATCATTTCTTGACAGACTCAGGACTTTCACTCACACCTCATAGCTACATAGAAGTAACAAATATTAGGCCGAGTGAATTCTCCTATATCAACCATATTTATGCATATGCACGAAAGTCAGCTACTTATAGCAATTGATGTCATAAATCTTATGATGACCTTTCATACCTCCTTGTAAATTTACTCACAAGTCACAGCACAACACTGAATACCTCAGGATGCTATGGTTTCTCATCAAAGCAAATATATACTTCATTTGGATTTAATGGTCATTCTAGTTAAAATAGAGTCTATATAGATGATTATCTGAATAAAGGGAATCAAATTAAATGTTGGAGAAAAAAATTCAATAGAAAATGGTAACATAAGAAACACAATGTTGGAGGACTCCTGAACAAATAGAACTTTCACTTTCTAACAAATTTTGTTCACAATTTTTTGTCGAGGTTGAACTATAATGGGCAGCTTCAAAAAGAGCAAGTGAGCAATACCACAGCAGTAGTAGGCAGTTACTTGTTACATGCATGGATAGTGTCTATGATCTATACTAGCATGGTATTAAACTACACCTATCAAATTACTTTATCAGAAGTTAAACCTTACTATTGACAGATAATACTTCTAATGCAAGTAACTACAGTACTTGGTGGCTGAAAGTGATCTTTCTTGTCGACCATCATTCCCTTCCATTGAGCCTGAAAAATTAAAATTGATGTTAGTAAATCAAATTCCCAAAAAGAATAGATATAAAATTAAAATACTTACTAGTACCTTCAGGTTCTGCTGAATAATTTTGAGAGTCTGATAAGCCATGTGCCTAAGAAAAAGAATGACGATGCATTAGCCAATTACTTTAGATACAAGTTCGTGCAGAAGTAAATGCAGAAATAATCTGCATTACTCAAAATTGCCAAAAGTGTTGACCTCTGATATAGCATCCAAGTTCCAACACAGATACATCTCATTTTCCATAGGTTTTCTCTAAATTTGAAGGACCACACCCATGTCTGACATTGGTATACCATGAATATGGCAAGAGTATGCCAACGAAGATCTGATAACATATGAGGTGGCCATCATAGTATTCATTCCTCCTCGTGATAAAGAAGTTAGCAAGGAATACCTCAAGGGATAGAATTAGGATTGAAGATATTTGAAGGAAAGTTGGAGTTGGACATTGAGGATTGAACAAGGGCGAACCAATTGGGATCACAAGAAGGTGCAACAATAAAGAAAGTGAAGAGTTGAGATCACAAGAATCTTAGAAGGAGATTAAAGAAGACTTGGATGGAAGGAGATAGGTATGATATATAAAATTGGACTTACAAAAGCATATACATTGTAACACTTATTATAAAGGGCATGGAGAAAGAGAAAACTTAGTGGACGTCTAAAATTTTGATTTATGTAGCCAACTAAGTCTTTGGGATTATTGTTGTTACTAAGTAGATAGAATATAGAACCAAAGTTGTTTCACCTTGAAATTATAAGCTGTGGTAAGCTTGATAAAACTAGGAACAATTGGTATTATCACAACTATCGGCTAGCAAAGGATATGATTGAGGTATATTAAAAGAGAGATAGGTCAATGAGAAAATGGTTAATGTGTGTAACTAGAGATAGTAATTATTGTAAGCACATATGTACCTCATGTTAATATAGGAGGCTTTGAATCATCAATTGGTGGTCAGCCAACTCCGTCATTGAGACTAAGGTTCTAATATTGTTGTTGATTAAAATTTCAATCTCATTGATGAAGCAAATAACCATATCCTTGGAGTCTTTACATTCACCCGTTTACTTATTTAATTCGATAGAGATACAACGGAAAAATTGCTAAAATCAAGAGTTTTTACTTCAAAAAGAAATGAGAGAAAACTGTCCAGCAAGTTGATGACTTCTTTTTTACAAATCACTAGAACAAATTGTAAATGAGCTACTGTGTCATCTTCACTTCTCTTCCATATATTATGAAATGGCAAGTCACCTTTGGGAAAGTTTGTTTGTCTTGTATCAATAGTCATGAATTTCCCTTTCCCGGTGGTCGATTGGCTATAATTTTGTTTTATGCAGTCTGAGGTGGACAAGGATAAATTGTGGTGGGCGCAAATTGCGCAATGCTGTTGTGACAATTTTTTGGTGTATTTGGTGGGGACAAAATTCCTGTATCTTTATTTGAGCTTTATCTTTTGAGTTGGTGTGACACCAATTTATAATAATGCTCAAGGAGCACTAAAGCAATAACGGTCCTGCTGCGCGGCCTGCACCAGGTGCACTTCAGTGTGCCTCATTAAAATAAAAAATGACTGAAGTGCAACTCTTGTGCGTGACTCAGGTGCACCTTGCCTATAGCAAAAAAAAACGTTCTACCTGAATCGCCTAGCACCTAGGTGTGCCAAGGCACACTTTTTATACTCTGTGTGAGACATAATAGCTTATCTAGGGTCTCTATGGACTATGACTGACTGAGGCTATTAAACAGTCATTCAATTGGGGAAGTTTGAAGAAACTGGCATGATCTGTAATCTGAAACATTGATTAAGGACAGTCTGTCCTCTTTCTGAATAATCAATTTTCATCTGTTAATATATTATATTTCTTATAACCAAAGAAAAGGTCATATGAGTTCAAACAAGGACTAATAAGCTTAATAAAGTTAAATAACTTCAGAAAAAAATTCTGATGCGATCTAATAAGTTAATTAAATTTTATCATTGGAATAAGTTCAAACAAGTTTGATCGTTTGTATGAGTTCAGGCTAAATAAGTTTTCATCAGAATTACTAAGTTCACTAAACAGAATAGCAGCGAGAAGAATGGCAAATACCATTTACCCAAGTAACTTTCTCAAGCTCACTTTTGGTAGCTCAAAGATGGCTGGTTCAGCAGTTTTATTTTTAGTTTTTAAGAATGGACTTGCAAGCTAAATTTAGAAGAAATGCAAAGCTAATCTTCACTTAGTAAACAATTTCCGCATTAAAATAAAGTTATTTTTCATAGATTCCAAGTATGTGAAATTCCTAACCCTAGAAGTGCAACACTGCAATTTCACTCCAAACTAATAAACGGCAAAAATTAGACAAAGAAACACTCAAACTAACCAGAAGAAAGGACATCATGGTTACACAAATGCAAACTTCCACTCCAAGTACTCATTCATCCTTATAGTTTCTAATGTCACCTAGCTCAGCTAATAACGATGGTTCCAAATTCACCTCATTCATCAATACTTGTGCATTAAACTAGTCTTCAACTCTTCCATCAACAAAAATTCCATCGCAACACAAGAAATAGGGCCACCCAAAAGCCAAAACATTTTTCTTGGATCAGGAAAAGGCAATGACTCACAATTGAGGAGCTGTCCCCTGCCGAGCAGGCGGCCACGAGTCATAACACACTCTTTGCACAACAAATTCGCTTTAAAGTACTACATGGGGTGTTATGCTTAACTGCTGTAAATCTCCAAACAAAAACAAACCATACACAATATCACAATTAAGGGTTTTGGAAGAACTTCTTCTTCTTGAACGCCTTAATCTACATGAACCAATATGAGGATTTCTCAGGAGGTCACCCATCCTAGTACTACTCTCAATCATTGAGGCTCATGTGAAGCGATGTGACAAAGTTTTACACTGGCTACCACAAGCCTACCGTAACCCTCCTCTTATCCAGGCTTGTGACAATTAAACTATTTTTATCCATTAATACATGTATAACATAATGACATTCAAGAAAACTAAAAATCCAATACATCACCATGAATTACCACAATTTTATAAAAATGATACATACAATGTAATTTCGAGGCAAGAACTCACCGTAGTACCACCGTTATTAATTGAATGGAGTGTAAAATGGTGATGATAATTCCAAGAAAAATTGTGATTAAGCTTGAGATGGGGTATTGCTGAATTTATAACCCAGTGACTCTGCATTATCATACTGCTAGTTTTTTTGCACACGACCCAATTATTCTACAATTCAAACAGAATTTCAACATTTCCATAAACAAAAAATAAAAATAAATAACAGAAAGAGAGATGAGAAAAATACCTTATTGTGAGGTGACGGCCACAATGAATTACAGCAGATTTTGTTCACTGAGAATGACATTGACATGGAACTGAATAAAGGGATTGATTTTTTTTTTTTTTTCTTTTTTTTCTTTTTTTTTTGAGCAACAAGGGATTGATTGAGTATACAAAAACGATGATTTTCTTTCGGGTATATGGATAAATCTAATGACAAAATTGTATGTTAAGTAGCGGTTTTAGAGCAAGATTTGCTTAAGGTCCGGTTCACTTCACCTTATTTTTGCTGTCGAATTAAAACTGAAATTAATTTTAATGAATTGAAATTATTTTTGCTAAACTGAAATTATTTTACTAATTCTCTATTATATTTTTTTTTAAACTCACAAATTTTTACTGAAGAGAAATTATTTTTACTGTATTGAAATTTAAGGTGAATTGAACATGGTTTAAGACGTAGGATGACATCATCAATTTTTAATTTTCTGGTCTTAAAACAAGACTTTTTATTTTATTTTTTTAATGCATTTAAGAAATTGAGTGTTACAAAATCTGAAGTGAAGTCTTGAAGGGAGTCTTGAAAACTCAAAACTCAACTGAAGACTCAACCATACACTCTATACACAGTGTTTTTCCCTATATACGCATTAAAACATAACGTTTTGATAAATTATTTGACTTTTTTATTTTCTGAATACATTAATAATTTGATTTTTATACAAAATTTGTATCTACATTGTTTTTTATTTTTTTGTGAAACCAATTGTAGGTTGTTAATATATACAATATATATATTTTCCTCCCTCCCCACTCACACCACACGCACCACCTATGCATCGGTCGCCGGCAACAGCAGTATAATACCCCGTATTTTTATACAGTTTATAAATTAAATTATTATTTTAAACGTATTTAAATAATTTGAAATGAATTATTTACGATATGTTTAATATTTAAAAATGAGTATTTAAATTAAAAACCCATTTATTATTTATTTATATGGATTTGAAAATATTCTATTTTTATATTTATAAACTTTGGGGCATACTTAATTTATAAAGGAGTTTTAAAGTCAAAAGAATTTTAAATAAAGTCAAAGGACCAATTTGAGTGGAAGTGGGAATCATTAAAGGTAAAAAGGGAAAGTCAAGGGGGGATTAGAGGAGTATAAATACTCACCCTAACGCAAAAATCAGATTTTTGCCCAAGGTGATAATCCAAAGAGGTAAACTCTCTATCTCTCTTAGTTTTCCTCCTTAATCCCCTCTCCCTCACCTCACACATGCCACCTACACACACACAGTGGCCGGCCACCACACCCTGCCATCCACCGGCCGACCACCGCCACCTGCAACAACCAACATCAATCGCCGCCGACATGGAGGGCCCTCCCCCGTGCGTGTATGCGTGTGCAAGAAAGAAAAAAAAAACTCTTCTTGTTTTAAATTAATTTAACTTTAATTAATTATTGTTGTGGGTGTTGTGTGATTATTTTAAGATGTTCTTAATGATGTTTAATATACATATAATTTTTAGATTTGGTTTTGTCTGAAAAAGCCCCAAATTGATTAAACCCTGAATTTCTAATTTGATGTTATTGAAGAAATTTGATTGTGGTTGATTAATACAATTGAAGTTAATCTTTTTAAACTAAATTACAGCAAGTTTAAGGATTTTAATATTGCTTGAAATTTTATATAGAGGATAAAATAATGTATTCTTGAAAGGATTTTAATTACCCATTAATTAGCAAGAAAAATAGGTGGTTCTAATTAAATTTCAGCATATTTTAGAAGGTTTAAAAGTGTTTTAAGGAGTGTATATATTGCTTGAAATTTAATTTGAATAGGTATTAATGTCTCTTTGTATTTGTGGGTTGTAGAAGACTTCCAAGTGAGTGATTTCGTGCAGTTATGACGATTTTGAGATCATATTTGAGGTACGTTCGCGTACTCGCTAATAATTAAAGCGTGCAGAAGCATGCTAGGACTTGTGTAATTATTTCCAAGTTAGTATCATTTTAGGTATTGATTGTAATTGTTGGTTGGATTGATTTGATGATTGGTTTGTGAGACTTGAATTATTTGAGATGAATTATTGATGGAATTCATAATGTTGGAATAATGTATATGGACCACACTTTTATCATTGGTATGATTGAAGGCATGTTTAATTAAACTAAATGTTTAATTTGGTTTGGAATATAAAAAGGGAATTTTATTATGGTTTATAATTTTTATTGATGCTATAAGCATGGGGATTGAGCAAGTTAAGTGTCTTAGTACACGAGGATTAATTTATATTTCGGTGCCTACACGCACTTAAGGTGTTTATACACCGAGGGATAGGATTTTTGGTGCCTACATGCACTGAAGGTGTTTTTACACTGAGGTAGTTTAAAAAGGGTTCGACATTAAATTAAATGTGGTCACTAATTATTCAAGAATTAAATTGGTATGTTTGATTGCTTGAATGAATTATGTATGTTGGTTGTTTTATGATTTGAGAGTCATCACCTAGTTTAAATGTGTAAATAACGAAGTGAAAGATACCACGTACCAAAACTCTTGAAACGTATATACCTTGAGTATGAACATATAAGGGGAGTTATGTGACTTTATGTTTGATCATAACTTCTACTGGGAGTACTAGACACTGTATTTTCCTTTTTATTATGTGTAGGATTTCACCACTTACGAGTGATTCTTTTATATTGGCACGATTAGCTCCCGTGTTAGTACCCCTCTATTGGGGCAGGTTAGGGGGGAAACTCGTTTGATGCGTAATCAAATTAAATAAGCAATTATACTTGCCTATTGTATGAGTTGTATGTTGTATGCTTGGAAACAGGTTCAAGAAGGTAATTTGTGTGATGCTAGGATGTAAGCATGTTAGTGTGACTCATTTACGCTTATGTACTTAGCATTGCTGATAGTGTGTTGTATGTTTGTTTGGCCTTGTCTTTATCTTGGCCCTACGACGACGCATTTCTAATGGCGAGTAGTGGGGACAAAGTAAATATAAGCCTTTCAGTCTTTCAGGTGATGAAGCATATTCATGATGGGCATGAGTGAAGAGCGAATCTTGTTTAGAATCTGTAAGATAATATAAAACTCCTTGATTAGAGTGATTTCCATTGATCAATATTTATAACGTATATATCTAGGATGAAAATATTCTTTGGATATTCTACCAGTTTCTATAAGACTATAATATGTTTTATGTGTTTTAATTATTATATATTTGGTTATGAGACTAACGCAATGCAATGTTTTAAAGATCCGGTTTGAGTTTTTAAAGGGCCTGCAATGGTTCCAAGTTGTAGGTTGGCTTCGTTTGGCTTTGGTTTGAATTTACTTTTGTTTGGTTTGACCTTTAAAGTTGGTTTGTTTTGAGTGGTTTTGAATTGAGCCTTCCGCTGTGTGTCTTTGATATTTTTCTTAGTCGTTATCACGGTGGCAATAATGTCTTAGAATTTCCTATTTTGTATTTTAAAAAGGGCAAAATAGGTATTTTAAAAGGGAAGGAATTTCTAGGGTGTTCTCCAAGTCCGTAAGAAAAGATTCCCCATTGATGAACTCTTCGTATGTATTCTATGCATATTCTAGGTTCAGGTTAGAACCAACTCCATTTGTGAAAGTTTGGAGGCTTTTATTAGTTGTTTCATAATTTTGAACAAAAATTGATTTATTAATAAATACATGCACAATGTCACAATAATTGTCATTTCTTTGTGTACATCATATTGAATGTGATAATTCTACTTTAAAATTACTTGTACAATAGATCATCTCTTGAAATTCTACACTAAAAATTGATATAAAATACAGTATGCAACAACATCATATCGCCTCTACTATTAAACAACAGTAATAAAAGGCATAATGTGATAATGACATTAAAAATAATTTGAGCTATACAAGTTTTATCGATCTATTAATCACATGATGCAACTAATTTACGTATTTAATTTCGTATAATCATGCTCAAACATGACCCCTCCCGGTCTTAGTAATTTTTATTCGATCAAGCCGACTGAAAATCTCAGTCATTCATGAAGGGGAAAGGAAAAAAAAAAGGTATAAGAAAGGAAATGAAGGAAAATGGCAAACAATTTCCATTTATATCACATGTTATTTTGGATATATTTTTCTAAAAACCATCATTTTATCTTCTTTGTCACTGACAGATCCCTTCTTCCTTTTCCTTCTATCGTCACCTTCCTCTCTTCACATTCGCACAAACAACCTTCGCACCATTATTGGTGGGGAAGAATTACATTGAGCCTCAAATGGGACAGAAATACAGGGTGAAAGCCAGGAATTAAAATTCAAGGGGGCCGAAACTTATACATTAGAATAAAATAATATGTATTTTTTTTCCTTTGCAAAATTATTGTTTTGCACTATTATAATTACTATTATTAGACCATATTTTTTTTGAAGAAAAAGACCATGTTTTTACTAGTACTCTATGTAAATAAAACCAATGTTATTAAGTATTTCGTAAAATGTATGATTAAGCTCAATTATTTATAATTCAAATAAATCAATTTTTTAACATATACAAATTACTATTAAGGGTATCAATTATCAAATTTGTATAGTATGTTAAAAGTAAAGAAAAATGAATCAAATAAGATTAACGTAAAATGACCCAAATGAGCAAAACTAATTAACTATGAAGTAAAGGATTGCAGGGGTCCTCAAAACTAGTCAAAGAAATATTAGTAGTGAGTTCTAACAAAGTAATCATAACCAAAATGCAAAACTAACAAAAGGATATATAAATTGATAATTGGGCAAGAAGTTGAAGTAACTTTTCACTAAGCTGTGATTTCTAACATTATAAAACAAGAAATATATATTAATTGTCCTATTAAGTTAAGGATGTCAACTTTGAAAGTAAACGAATTTGCAGTTGACATCCTTAACTTAATAGGATAATTTGCAGTTGACATTCCCCCAGGGTTGTATTGCATTTTAGGATTACCAATTCAAGAAACACGGAGCATTTCAAAACATGTTCCCATCCATCATCTATTCTTCCCATGCTATGAGACTCCATCCATTCATAACATTCCTCACATGCTCAATCACATAAGTAACATCTAACAAAGTTATTATTTTACACTTTAATCATTATTTTTCATTCTTTAAAAATTTCAGTTTGTTTTCTTTAATTGTAGTTTGTTTCTTGTTTTCTTAAATTAATAATGCCAAAACTAGCATTCATGTTGGTAATCCAGTTTTGGTTAGGATTTCTTATAACATAATTATGCTTGTGTCTTATGATATTCTTAAACTTTCTAAGCATGCTT